CACCTCCCACTAAGTCAAATGTACAATAAACTGGCATGGAGACCATTGTTCTCAAGAACTCATATGATCTGCCTAGAAGTTTTCAGCTTGCATCCAAGTTAGTAGAGAGGTGCAAACTTGGGGAAAAATTAGAGTTGCCTGACAGGATGTCAAATTGTAGACCTCTGGGCTCCTTTCCAACCCCTTTGAGAGTCAGAATCTCCGGGGTTGGTGTGGGATGTGGAAAGGTCTGTAATCTGTATTTCTAACAAGCTCCCCAGTAACTTTCATGTTGCATGCCCAGCCTCTACCTCAGGCTATTTCCGAGTGCCAGTTACTTCCTTACATGGGACTCTGAGGCTAGCAGCAGCCCTTGACTGTAGAATGGAATCATTAGCTGGTTGCTTGGGGTCAGCCGCAAGATCAATCATTTCCAAACAAGAGCGGCAGAGCTGTAGACTTCTCTTTTCCATACTCAAAACATCTACTAACTTGGAATGCCTGTTCGAGGAGTCTAACCTGAAACTTCATTGAGAGACATCTAAGAATAAGATTGTAGAGACAAACACTTGCCTTTTGTTCTTTCCTTTACTTCCAAAATGGGCTGTGCATATCTAGCAAGGGTGGGGGGATCCCCTGGCTTTGTTTACAGCCCCTGGGTGACCTGAAAGGGCTCTCAGCTCAACAATAATGGTAATAGAATCAGGGGAATCAACTGCCTCACTACAGATGGGACCCAGTTTTCCCAAACTTTTCTTGTATTCAGACAAGGCCCAGAGTCTCAGCTATCATGTATGAACCAGAGCTTCTGGCTTCCTGGGAAAATCTCCCAGTTTAATCAACATTCTGATATAATGCCTTCAATAGTATTATCAACTCCATTTATTTTAATTCAGGAGCATAAAGAAGAGAGACAAGGCTCTCTAGTTGGAAAGGATATATTCCATCAACACTGAGATTGCTATGTATGTAGCCTAAGAGAATATGCTATGGTATTTTTCTGGATGCATTCTTAACTTCCACCTGAAGGTGAGACCCTGTAAATTATTTTCCTAGCAATGGGAATGGGGTTGCAAGGATTTTTCCATATCCTGTACACCATTCTTCTGATATAATCTGTCCTTAAATCACAGTTTCTTAAAAATAGAGGAGAAGGGAATGTTTGCTCCAGGTAATGCCTGGTCACCTACACAGGCATTTCAGGAGGAAGAGATATTACTGGTCACCCTCCCACAACAAAGAATTACCAGTCTCAGAATGTCCACATTTCCGAAGTTGAGACATTGGAATTGAGCGACACAAACTGAGGACCCAGGAGCCCAAACTCATGACTTCATTCTTTCTTTTTGGCAGTTGTTTAGGTGAATCTTTCAGTCTATGCCATAGATCTCCAAAGAGCAAAATACGAATCAGCATGTCTGAATTCTATCTAGTTCCCTTGGCTCCACTTCTTTAGTGGCCAGAAGTCAATGAGACTCTCTTCTTAGTAATATTAGTAGCCCCTTTGCCCAGCATCTGCGTCATTAGACACAGCCTCTTCTTTCCTCTTACATTTATGTTTCTTGTCTTCCATGTCACATGGTCTTAACCTTCTCCTGCCCCTTATTCCATCCGTTACCATCAAATCCAGACCTACTGTCTTCTTTGGTTATTTTGATTCTCAAGCTTCTAACAGACAATGTGAAACCTTTGATTTTTCAATTCTGCCATTGACTTACAAAGTTTTATCTTAGATCTAGAGTTTAGAGTTACAGACTCACATCCCCAGCTGTCCCCCAATTTCTCATTGATAGTGTTATAAGCATTTGCAGTCTCATTTGTCCTAAATGAATTTGTCATTTTCCCATCAATTCTTCTCCTCAGTATCCCTCCCTACCCAGGTGCAGAGGAGATTCCCACAGGCTTTTGTCTCCTGTTCACTTGCACCCCTGCAGGCCGCCCATCAAGGACCCAGAAGTCAGTTTTCAAACCATCTATGTAACCTTTGTTTGGTTCTTTTCCATCACAGGTTGAACTACAGCCACCTCTGTCATGCACCTTGCTTTAGCTCTTTAATTGGTTAAATGGTCCTCTGTGTTCCTTCCATCCACCCCACCACACCGCTAAAGGGATGGTTTGGATTTGTAAAGCTGGCCTTGCTGCTTCCTTTTCTGAATTTTTCCTCTCATTGTTCTGATGTTGAGGACCACAGTTCTTGGGCTAGATGCTATCTGACTCACCATACCTCGCCAGTCCCATGTGCTGGGCTTGTGTCCAGGAGTTTAGTTCCCTTTCTGGCCAACAAAAGCAACCTATTCACTACTAGCTGCTGTCTTCACTCACAACATCCCTTCTGCACAAATGCTCTTTCTTTTCCTGTGGAAAGGGAGGAGCCCTTTACATAGACTCTGAATTTTCTTTCCTTAAGACATAGCTTCGCATTCATACCATTTATTAATAGTTTTCCAGAGAGGAAAACCCTTATCTCATTAGATAATCACACAGTGATTGGAAATTATTATTGATTTTAAAACGTTTAATCTGGAGAGTTGCTAAATGGATAGGCTCAGAAAGTTCAAAATTCCTTGTAGATGGTTTATAATTAATTTTACTTTGTTTTCCTTCCTGAAATTGCAATCACATAACTTCTAAATATGCGTATCAGCTCTCTGAATATGCACTTTAACAGACTGTATTTACCACGAAGTCTTCTAGCCCTGGAGTAACACCTGACACAAAGCAATATTAAATAAGTATTTGTTGAATGAGTGAAAGAATAATAATGATTAACATTATTAAAATAATAATAAAATAAAATAATGAAATGAAATGATATGCTTAATCCAGAATTGTTCTAGCAATTGTGCCACAACAAACTGCCACAAATGTAGTGCCTTAAAACAAAGCAAACCGAAACTCTCCTGGGACTCAGAATTACCAAATCATTGTCCAGCGACAATCAAGGCACTGGGGCTGCTACTGCATTCAGGAGGCCCCATGAGAGGGTCCACCACCTGCCTATTTTCACCTTTCAGTGGCTTAGCTTGTGCCCCTTTTCTATCTCAAAGTAGAGCCTCTTGCTTCTGCTTCACTGTCACGCTGACTTCTCCGATCTCCACATCTCGTGCTGCCCTTTGTAAGGGATTTTGCAAATGTCTCGGGTCTGTCTTGATAGCCAATGAACATCTCTCTCATCTCATGACCTTCAGTCACATCCGTGTGATCCTTTTGTCCACATAAGATAATATCTGAGGGTCCAAAGTTTAAGATGCATATATTTTGTAGAAAATTACTCGGTCTGCTAGTACAGTAGACTACTTATTATCTACCCACTTCCTAAAGTACGGGAAAGAGCGGAAATTATTGTCCAGGCCTCTGTTGCAAGTCAGTTGTATTCCAGAAACTGAATCACATGTAAGCTGAAACAAAAACTTCAGCCACAGTGCTCCCAAACTACACATTCATTTAGACTGAGTTGCAGAGGAGACCAAAAATAAAGGACTTACGTCATGGCAGTGTTTCTCTCAACGAAGCTCAGAGCCCAGCCAAAAGTGCCTGGTCACTGAATCTGAGATGGCATGAATCTCCTGCATAAGTTTTATCAAGCGTGTGACTGCTTTATGGCACTTGGGGCATATCAAAAAGACATATTCATGGATGAGACTGGAAGCATGGAGACATCGAAGCTATTTGTGTGGCTTAGGGAGTATTGATATGAACACACTGAAAACTGAACTGCAGAGGGTTTTTGGTATTGCCACAGGCTTCCTTGTTTTTCAATAGCTTTTGAAATACAAACAAAGCAAAAGAAAAAATGATAGAGAAGGGAAAAGCTTTTTAAAAATGAAAAAGTGAGACTGAAGACGGCTATAAAGCAGGGATGCCAAGAGATACAAGGGTCCACAGTCGCACACAATTACCAAAGCGTCTTCAGATAGAACGCAACAACTGCTGTTCGGTTTGATTTTTTACTAAAGCTCTGGCGGCCTCTATTGGTAAAATAGAGAAATGCAGAGTCTGCAGCGAAGTGCCCTTTTCAGATGCGCTTTGGAATTAAGACATTAAACTTCCTAAGGCTGTTGAGTATCTCTTTGCCTTTCTTGTTGTTTCTTTGTTTGGTTAAATGTCTTTACCTCTTCCACTCTATCTGATGCCACACCCCTTAACTTCTGTTTTTAAAGTCAGGAACCCTTTATTTTCCCCAAATTAGGTCAATTTCTGCATACTTAGGATACTTGGATTTCAGCTTAATTCTTCAGTAAAACAAACACTCCAAATTCATTAGGTCCTTCTTTAAAAGTGTAGTTTACACAAGAGCGGCTATTCTGGCATTTAAATATACTGAAATTCTGAGATGAAACTCCCACAGTACCACTACAGTTTCAGTTTTCAAAATACACCCAATTCCAGGCAAACACCAACCCTTGAAATTCTGTCACAGGCAAACACCAACCCTTGGAACTCTGCCAATCTGCTAATTTAAGGGGAGATGGAGCTCCACTTTGAGTATTCAGAAAGTATTGATTGTCATTTAGTTTAAAGAAAAATGGTGTCACCATTGGGTTGACTGAATGATTTTAATATTAAAGTGAAAGGGAGAATGGCGAGGGAAGCCAGAATAAGAAAGGAAGAAAGCATACTCACTCCAGCCATAAGAGAAAATAAAAAGGTCAAGACCGCTCCTTCTGCAACTAGGGAGAAGAAAAAGGGGAGTTACCCTTGAAAGCTGCCTCCCCGCGTCCCGGGAGGCGCGCGGGGTTCAGCACCTCGGAAAGCACCCCTTCTACACGGGGATTACGCATGCTCTTTGGGGCTCTCCGCAGAGGCTCTGTGGGTGCGAACGCAACTCCGGTAACTCTGTTAAGTCACTTGGGGGTGACAATATCGGACAAATAGAAAACACCAGCGGAGCTCCAGGCAGTGCCGGCGTGCATCAACCTCCAGACAGTCAGAGTGAGACACGGATGTTCCCGATTTCTGTTATCCTCTGAAAGGAGAGAATCTCGTCCGGGCAACAGCAGAAGCCAACAAAGGTACTGGGAAGAGAAGCGGCAGGAGAACTGTGCTCTTGAGCAGGGGGCTGCGTCTAAGTGACAACGGGGAAAAGGAGGACCCTTGATCCGGGCCACTTTCCTAGAACTGCCCTTTTCTGCTCTAAACCCGATAAGACCTGACGCTGAGCTCAGCCAACCCTTGAGTCCAAGGCGGTTCTGGGTGCGAGGATTCGGTTCAGCATCCTCTTTCCAGGTGTAGTCTTCAGTGGTTTCTTAGAAAGCTCCAGTATCCGCCCGTTGGACCCCTTGGGTACCACACCCGGAGCGAGCGGTGCCACTCGGATAGTTGGCTCGCAGAACATGACCCAGAGGCACCTGCGCGCGCAGGTGGCTTCTGCAACCACAGCCGCCACCATGAGTAAGGCGGCTGCGGGTGATGAGCTCTCAGAATTCTTCAGCCTCATCCCAGACTTGCTGGAGGTTGCCAACACGAGCAATAACGCGTCGCCGCAGCTTCCCGACTTGTGGTGGGAGCTGGGGCTAGAGTTGCCGGATGGTGCAGCGCCAGGGCATCCCCCTGGCAGCGGCGGGGCAGAGAGCGCAGACACTGAGGCCCGGGTACGGATTCTCATCAGTGCGGTTTACTGGGTAGTTTGTGCTCTGGGATTAGCTGGCAACCTGCTGGTTCTCTATCTGATGAAGAGCAAGCAGGGCTGGCGCAAATCTTCCATCAACCTCTTCGTCACTAACCTGGCACTCACTGACTTTCAATTCGTGCTCACTTTGCCCTTCTGGGCGATAGAGAACGCTCTAGACTTCAAGTGGCCCTTCGGCAAGGCCATGTGTAAGATAGTGTCCATGGTGACGTCCATGAACATGTACGCTAGTGTCTTCTTTCTCACCGCTATGAGCGTGGCGCGCTACCACTCTGTGGCCTCTGCTCTGAAGAGCCATCGGACCCGAGGGCTTGGCCGTGGCGACTGCTGCGGCCAGAGTTTAAGGGACAGCTGCTGCTTCTCAGCCAAGGTGTTGTGTGGATTGATATGGGCTTCTGCCATGTTAGCCTCGCTGCCCAATGTCATCTTCTCTACCACTATCAGGGTGATGGGCGAGGAGCTGTGCCTCATGCATTTCCCGGACAAGCTGCTAAGCTGGGACAGGCAGTTCTGGCTGGGTTTGTACCACCTGCAGAAGGTGTTGCTGGGTTTCCTGCTACCGCTGAGTATCATCAGTATGTGTTACCTGTTGCTGGTGCGCTTCATCTCGGACCGCCGCGTAGTGGGGACAACGGATGGAGCCGGAGTTGCAGCGGCTGGGGGAGGCCTGAGTGCAGCCAGCGCTCGGAGGCGGTCCAAGGTCACCAAGTCAGTGACCATCGTAGTCCTGTCCTTTTTCCTGTGTTGGCTGCCCAACCAGGCGCTCACCACCTGGAGTATCCTCATCAAGTTCAACGCGGTGCCCTTCAGTCAGGAGTACTTTCTGTGCCAGGTGTACGCGTTCCCAGTCAGCGTGTGCCTAGCGCACTCCAACAGCTGCCTCAACCCGATCCTCTACTGCTTAGTGCGCCGCGAGTTCCGAAAGGCGCTCAAGAATCTGCTGTGGCGCATCGCGTCGCCTTCGCTCACCAGCATGCGACCCTTCACCGCCACCACCAAGCCAGAACCCGAGGACCACGGGCTGCAGGCCCTGGCACCGCTCAACGCCGCTGCAGAACCTGACCTGCTCTACTATCCGCCCGGTGTTGTGGTCTATAGTGGGGGACGCTACGACCTGCTGCCTAGCAGTTCGGCTTACTGAGACCTGCCAAGGCTCAAGAGGGCCTTCCACCGACAAGGAGAGGGGAGAGCAATTTGGGGGCTGGAAAGCGGGGTTGGAGAAAAAAGTAGGAAAGGAATGTTGCTGGGAAGAGCAGACTGTGAAAAGGCCAGAGGACGATCTCTGCAGAAATCAGGTTAAAGGAGAAACATCTGCACCTGGGTAGAGCCAGCAGCCTCGGCTCAGGCTCCCTACTCCCTGCTCCCCTGTCCTTTACTCCAGTTCCCACTCCCCCACCCTGCCCATTGAACGCTGTGGGACACCTAGGAGCCATGGGAAGTGAGAATAGCACTGGGAAGCAGAGAGATTGGGTTGCTTAGGAGCTGGGCTTAGCTAAATGGTGTCCAGACCAGGGATCATTTGGCCCAGAGACTTTTATGGAGAACTTTATGGGGCCTCAAGCAAAATTCCAGAGGGTAAGTTACCCATAAAGCCTGTCTAAATGAGCTTTGACCTGCGAGACTGTCCCAAGCAAAGATCTAACTTGTCGTGACTGTCTTGGAAAAGGAAAATGAGAACTAGAAACTTTTATCCTTTATCGTCCTGGAGAGGGCTAATGTGCACAAGCCGACCCCAATCTCTCTGCTGTTCCTCTGAGCACAAATGTCACCCGTGTCACCGGGAGTCTCTAGGGAGTGATGCGAGGGACAAGAAAGAGTGCTGTGGTTAGAAAAAATAATGGAAAGAAACCTTTTTATGATGCAGCCCCTGAAGGAAAGTGGAGGCGGGTGGAGGGGGCTAGGTACAGAGTGGGAAGTGAAGTGTCTCCACTGAAAGTCTAGGTACCCAGATATGGCTACCTGGCACTTTGGTCTATTGCTGCAGATGAGGCAGCAAGCACCCTGAAAGCTCTCCTGAGTGTTGGGGTGTGTTAGCAACCCCCTCACTCTTTGGTAAGGCACTGAAGTAGCAGATGAGACACTGAAGTAGCAGATAGAGAGATGGCTCGGTGCTGTTGGGGACTTAGAAGAGTAGGAAATGTTGTCCAGTTGTTTTCTAGAAGTTGGGGTTTGATCTTTCTGAGGGGGAGGGAGGATTCGAGTAAAATCTATCCTAAAGAGAAAGAAGGGACAGTTCCCAAGAGCGTGAATGTATGAGTGAAGCTATGTAGCTGACAGAAGGAAAGACTTGGAATTTGAGTAGAAGACTAGCTAACCAAGTTCCAGGTACTTTTGTGTGTTTTGCTCATTGTGCATGCAGGGCAGCCACAGGGCTGCCTCGAAGGAGCGAGCAGACTCCTCACGACACCCCAGTTCTAGTCACAGTGTAAGAGACTCAGTTCTCTGAGAACTGAGATCAATCCCTTCCTCAACCAGGTCAGTAGAGAGACTCCCTTTCCTATTTGGCTGGTTCTGGGGTTAAGTGACCAGTAGAGCAGACACCTCACACTGCGGTGTAGTCACTTTAATCCAATGAAGAATCACTAGAAAAGCACAGCTGCTTAAATGGCCTCCTGAACGACAGGACTGCTGGGTAATTTTGTCAACATTATACAGTTATATATGAGACTTAAAACTTAGTCTACGGAATCTATGTGCCTGCCATCAAAACCGCATTTCCTGCAACACAGCTCCAGGCACTCAGATACCTTCCCACAACAAGAACAAGAGCAAAGCAAGTCCCGATGCCTTGTTCTGAAGCACTCACACCAGTCCTCCTTTGCTCTTTGGTGTTATTAATGCTGGCATTGACTAGCAACCAGGCTAGCACCTCTTGGAATGTGAGCCCCCAGGGCTCTGTGCTGGCTAATTTTATGTCAGTTTGACACAAGTTAAAGCTAACTGAAAGGGGAGGACTGCAATTGAGAAAACTGTAAGATCTAGCTGTAAGACATCTTCTTAACTAGCAATTGATAGGGAGGGCCCAGCCCATTGTTGAGTGATGCTATCCCTAGACGGGTGGTCCTGGGTTCTTTAAGAGAGCAGGCTGAGCAAACCATGTGGAGCAAGCCAGGAAGCTGCACCACTCCATGGCCTCTCCATCAGCCCCTGCCTTCCGGATTCTGCCGTCTTTGAGCTTCCTTTAAAGAGGAACTACAATGCCAAATAAACCCTTTTCTCTCCAACTTGCTTTGTGGAGTATTTCGTTGCAGTAATAGAAACCCTAACTAACATGTGTTCCAATACACAAAATAAATAAAAGGGCCAACATAAGAGGAAACAGACAATACCACGTCCATGTACAGCATCAGTATTAGACTGTTCCTGGGAGATTAACATCGCTTGCTGTTCCAATTTTGAGAGTGCCATTGTTTGTGGATAGCTCAGAACTCTTAAACAAAAGTACGGATGTGTGTGTTTCTGCTGTGGGCATTACAGAAAGAGAAGATACTGAGCTGGAGCTAGGACTTCACGAAAATCTCTGTAAAAGGAACCACTCTGTCCAAATCCAAGGCTGAGGGCTTCAGAGAACAACACAGGGGGAGTCAAAGACTATGGATTCTGTCCACTCAAAGACAGGACAGCAGGAGGTGGCTGGGCAGCCCCTCTGTGTGCCTGTGGTTAGGGCAAAAACCAGCACAGTCCAGACTTCACAGTTAGAACAAACAGCCAGAGAGTCAAGCAAGACAATGCATAAAACAATGATTTGGACATTACATTGAGGCTACAAGAAAAGAAAGGGGTATGAGAATCTGGGAAAAAAAGACAGATTATGCTCAAAATAATATTTGAGCTGGGTCTAGGTAATATGGATGCAAGGTTGACAAAGATGCTGAGGGTATTGGGGGAAGGGGAAGCAGGAAGCAAACAGTGTACCTTCCCTTTATCTGTTAAGAGTTCCCTGGATTACTTCTGAAAATGTTTACACCTGTACATTAGTTTTGTCTACAGTTAAGATGCTTTTTGTCAGAATGAATTGCATTTGTCAAAGAAAATAAAAATTTGGGTTTTCATATGTTGTTAAAAGCTTTTAAAAATTGGATTAAGTCCACTCATTCAAACTTAATAGAACTGAGTTAAATGGGTAAAGTATTTATGTATGGTATGTGTGCGAGTGTGTGTGTGTGTGTGTGTGTGTGTGTGTGTGAGAGAGAGAGAGAGAGAGAGAGAGAGAGAGAGAGAGAGAGAAAGAGAGAGAGAGAGAGAGAGGAGATTGCTCTAGGTCCTTACCCCAGCCCAGTACTCTATCAAGTGTTGCAAAATCAACATTGTACATTGATATAGTCATATTTATTGTTTCTCGTGTTAACCTTTTTTTCTCCAAACAATGATCCATTGATGTTTGGTCGCTTGTAATAAAGTCCATGTCTTGTGACTGATCAGTGGTGGTCGGTTTTGACTTCTTTAAGGTCCAAGTAGCATGGCCCTCAGATGAAGGACATTCCCAGCTGACCCATTCATTCATTCATTCCTAAGCCTTCAAAGACCAAAACATGCCCTTGGAATTACACTTAAGGATGACATGGAACTCTCCAGGTTCCATAGAAACCTTGTAGATGTGAGCATATGTAGATTGAGTTTTCCTTTCTCAACTCCATGTTCCCACACAACCAGCAGCCACTTTTCAAATAACTGACTCAGAGACTTAATATAATTTATAAATGCTTGGTTGATAGCTCATGCTTGTTCCTATCAAACTCCTACATTTAAATTTACCAATATTTCTTGACTATGTTTTGCCACGTGACTCATGGCTTGCTACCTCATTTTCTATACATCTGGCCTTCTCGGTGGCTGTCTGGAGGCTCCTCTGACTCTATGCTTCCTTATCCTAACATTGTTTATTAAGCTAGTCACAGCAGCATATATTTATACAGTGCACAGGAGGATTATTCCATAGCAAGTATAAGTAGGAAGAGTGGTAGCTTTGTCTGCTTCTTTTATCAGGAGAACCGACACAGGACCTCTTAGAAGCTGCTCGTCACAGTCTCAGGCTACAGAGTTCAGAGGAGGTGCTGCTTTCCAGGGCCATATTTCTAGTCTGTCAAGTTTTCAGTTCTCCGACATAGATCATGGTGGTTGGGACAAAAACTAGGACAGTTGGGGTGATTTTATGTACAGCCCCTAAGAAGATGAGATGATTTTATTTGTGAATTAAAGTACCAATAGAATATAGGGAGACCTGATTGAGGGGCAGCCAATGAATGGCACCTATGTGGGCAAAAAGGAGAGCAAGGTAGCATGTAGATTGAGAAGTAAAGCAATAGCACACTCAGGTCAGGGAACAAAGCCCAAAGCCAGAAAAACCAGGGATCCAAAGAGATGAGTTATTATGTGGAATTCCGGGGTGCCTACCTTCCGACAAGAAAGCTGTATGTCCTGTAGGTAATGGGGGGGATGAGTTGATGAAGGGCGGCAGACAGGAAACAGCATTTACTTTAGCACAAGCCCCCGCCCCTTACCCTCCACCTACTGGCCACAACTCAGGTATAAGTAATAAATTTAACCAGAGGCACAAGATTCTAGGTTTCTCCTTGTTCTATGATAACAGAGCAGCAGCAGCGAGCAGGCTCTTTAAATACAAAGGAGACCTCTGGGAGAATTGTGACAAGGTGGATGTCAGGCAGCAGCGGGAAGGAGAGAGTGGGCACAAACTATTTGGGACCACACAGAAACAGGAAGTGGCAAGGAAGCATGACACACGGCAACCCATGTCTGGCTGGATTTTAAGGCCAGTAGTTTCCAGTACTGCCTCGTTCATAGACAGTCAGGGCCCACGCCGGCACCGCTTCACTAGAAAAGAAGGGTCAGCTTCCATCCTACTTTCCGGGCCTCATGCAGGAATGGAATGTCCTCATCCCATACTCTCGATCCCAGAAACCCCCATGGAAACAACTCGTGGGGATTTTTGTAAAACCTTCCCAGGCCTTTACTGAGCTCATCTTGCAGAGGCAAAGCACACCACTCAGTCTGTGCCCTTGGGTGTAAGGGAGCGAAGGGGGGGCTGAGGGCAGCTGCTAGAAGGTAGAGGTGGAGAAGTACGGTCGCCACAGATGCAATAATACGAGTGTTAGCATGGGTAAGGACTGTTGCATCATGGGATAGAAACAACAATGAACAACGGGATCTGGCCATGGACCCCACCATAATCCATCCTGTTTTCTGAGCTCGGAAAGCAGTGGGGAGTGCGCCCTTTATGCACAGGGCATTTGAGTAAAAGAGGACACAGAGGCCTTTG